TATCTTCTGTGTCTGTGTTAATTGGTTTCCCTTTTCTTTGTTGAAGAGGGTCTGTGCAATCCTTCTGCCTAGTCCGCCATCTTGCCAGAACTCAGCTCTTAAAATTTTCATTGTATTATACTTTAAATTTGGATTATGTGTGATTTGGAAGCAATAAAAGGGATCTGGTAGATAAGTGATTACATTCCCAGCTGCTAAACGAAAGATTCATGGTTCAAACCCAGCTGATCCATGAAAGGAAAGTGTGGAAATATGCTTCTGTAAAGATTTCAGCCTTGGAGCGCCAATGAGGAAGCTCCACTCTGCCTTATAGGGTTGCTATGAGTCAGAATCAATCGCATGGCAACAGGTTTGGTTTAACTGAGATATAAAGGCATGCCATACAACCATAGGTGCTTCAAGCATTTTATTTATGTTTTTGTCATTTAACATTTTATTGTAGCTTAGGGTGAATATGCAGAACATATCAACATCATTAAGTAAATCACCTTCACCTGACTGTGATTTTAAAACACCATAACTTCAATTCTGTCTACAATGTTACATATTTATTATTTTATAATATATCATTTTATTATAATATTTATTATATATTATTTGTGAATTTTATTTTTTTTGGGTATTATTCTTTCTGAAATAAGTAGAAGACTGGTGCAAATTGTGATAGAGGAAAAAACAGAATGGAAGTTAAAGAAATTTAGAAAGGAGGTGAGAATATCTGTATTCTCAAGTCCAGTAAGAAAATATGTTCTTGGTCACAGGAAAAAAAAAAAAAAAAGTGCCATTGAGTTAATTCCCACTCATAGTGACCCTACAGGATAGAGTAGAACTGCCCTATAGGGTTTCAAGGCTGTAAATCTTTATGAAAGCAGACTTCCTCATCTTTCTTTGGAGGAGAGGCTGGTGGATATAAACCACCAATGTTTGAGTTAGCAAGCATGCATTTTAAATGTTCTTAGTCTTCATTTAATAAATCTCTTGTTAAGAATTTAATTTCCAGGTTACTATAGATGATGTGAACATCTGGGGTTGTTTACCTGAGTGGCATGACTCTCTCGATGTCTCTGAAATGTTGATGTCGCTGTACCACTCAATGACAGCCTTGAGTATCCATCTTCTCCAGGTAAACCTGTGAAGACAGCACCGAAGGAGTAGATAAGTTGTGTCTCCATCTTCTAAATAAAAATCTGTGTATGTATTCTAATAAACTGACACTGCTATATTTCACAAGACAACATTCAATGAAAAATAAATATTCCAATGAAATACAAGAAATATGAATATTACTGTAATTCTATTTAGTAAAAGAGGAAATAGACTAGTCAAAGGAGATAAAATGTTAGTAAAGAAGTACATCATAATAGCACTTAAGTGAGCGAAGAAGTGTTAGAAGGAGAAAGAAAACTTTTCTAAGCACCTAAGAACTTAAGAATATAGGTTCTTGAAACATAAAACAAAACCTGTTGCTGTTGAATTGACTCCAATTCATAGCGGCTCTATAGGACAGAGTAGAACTGCCCAGAGGATTTCCAAGGCTGTAAGTTTTTAAGGAAGCAGACTGCTTCATCTTTCTCCCATGGAGCAGCTAGTGGGTTCAGACCAGACATGGACCTTTGGGTTAGCTGCTAAGTGCTTAACTACTACACTACCAGAGCTCCTTCTAATTAAGAATATAGGAGGGGAAGAGAAGCACATTGATAATGGAGAGTAAAATAATTAGCTTGGGTTGCTACAGAAGGCAGTTTGTATTTTCTTTGTAGGGTACTTGTTGTTGTTGTTATGTGCCATTGAGTTGACCCCGACTCATAGCGACCCCTCCTTGGCTTTCCGAGGCAGTATCACTACAGAAGTAGATTGCCCAACCTTCCTTCTGAGGAGTGGCTGGTGGATTTGAACCGCTAGCCTTCTGGTTAGCAGTTAAGTGCCTTAGGCTAGGGATCCAAAAAAGGAATTGAAAGACAGATAAAACATCATGAAGTCTATGTGCCAGATGGATTCCACTGATTATTATTTATTTCTGCCCCATCTGTCAATTGGTCACACTGTGGTGGCTGATGTATTGCTATGATGCCAGAAGTTATAACACCAGTATTTCAAATACAAGCTGGGTCTCCCATGGTGGACAGGTTTCAGTGTAGTTTCCAGACTAAGACAGACTAGAAAGACCTGATGATTGATTTCTCAAAATTAGTCAATGAAAACTCTATTGATCACAAAAGAACATTGTCTGATTTAGTGCTGGAAGATGAGCCTGTTTGATTGGAAGGACCTACATAATGGCTGTGACTATGGATTCAAACATATCAACAATTATGAAGATGGTGCATGACTAAATAGTGTTCCATTCTGTCTGTTGTAGACAGTGTTACCATGAGTTAGAGATGACTCAATGGCAACTAATGACAACAAAGTAGTTCATTTCATACACAAAGAGACAGAGGAGTTTGAGGTCAAACTTCAGGAAAAAAGGTAGAGTAACTTCTCCTTCACAACAGACCTATTCAAAACCAACGATATTAGATAAATTGTGGGTCTGAGGAAATTTGCATGCCATCCCCCAAATAATATAGAAATGCTTAACATGAGGAAAGGTACCAAATCATTTTACTAATTATCCCTCCTCAGAGAAACAAGGTTTCTCTACCTTGACACTCTTCTCATTTTGAACCATATAGTCTTTTGTTGTGAGGGCCGCCCTGTGTATAATAATAGGATGTGGTGAAATCCTGGTTTCTACCCACTTAATATCAGTAGCACTTTCCCAGTTGAAAAAGAAAAATTGTCTCCAAACATTGTCAAATATTCCTGGGGCAAAATTCGGTATCATGTATCATCACAACTTACTTGATTAATAAAAATGAATGGATAAAAAAGAAATATCTACCAAGTGGAATGAGTTTCACACAGAGAACTTGAAATGCAGAAGTGATTACTACTCTCATCTGAAAGCATAATTAACTAGTACGATATGACTGATTAAACATATACACGATTCCTAAATTAAAAATCATTAGATACTCATAGAACAGTTTCTTTTTTATATGAGAGAGCTAGTTCCTCATGGAAGACCAAAAAATCCTGTTCCCCACATAACAAGGGTTCTCAATTATTATTCTTGTTATACACACACACATACACATACAAATATTTTATATATATATATATATATATACACACACACACACACACATACGTACATACCTTGGCAAAAAAGAAGGAGCTCTGGTGGCATGGTGCCTAAGGCAATTGACCAGAAATTTGGTGGTTCAAATCCACCAGCCACTCTGCAGAAGAAAGATGGGGCAGTCTACTACTTTAAAGATTTACTGCTTAGGAAACTCAAAGGGCATCATTATGAGTCAGAATCTACTTGATGGCAGTGAGGTTTTTTTTTTTTTTTTTTTTTTTTGCATAGAAGAGTTCATTGCATTGAGACTGGACAAATTAAGGGGACAAATTAAGGCCAGGAAACTTGTAGACCTACTGAAGGAGAAGCAGGAGCTGGAGAATGGATCCTAGTCATAAGATATTAGCAGTATCTTAAATTAACTAGCGGGAAAATTGTTTTCAGACACTGTAGCAGCAGAACAGGAAAGGGTCTAATCAAACATCAAAGTGAGTTTAAATTTAAATAAGTGCAAAGGAGAAAAGAAAGCTAGGGTCAGGCAAAATCTGGAAAATTCAGGCAGCCAGATAAGTAGACAGTTGGAAAAATATCTGTATCCAGGTCACAGGACACAGTGAAGGGCTTGAGATGCATGTGAAGTACTCTCTCTTAAAACTGTGTCAAAGGTGGGTGGGAGGAATAAAATCTTGACTGATAAGTAAGATACCTGTCCATCTACTTCTAGAGAAATTGATCAGGGGCCATTCTATTAAGACAAGGAATTCAAGGGAGGTGAAGAAAATAGCAATTCATTTTTCAAAACTAAATGATAAATTAGAGGTTTATTCTCAGAATAAAAGCAGAAAATCAGTTTAGAATATAGGAGTATAAACTCATAGCCTGATCAATAATATTAAATACCATTCAATAGAATAATGTTAATAATAAAAATGGACATTCTCTGAATAAGACTCTAGGAAATATAGTGAAAAATAAAGTAAAGCACTATCCTTAAGAAGCTTATAATATAACAAGTATGACAATCAGAATATGCAATGGACTAATTTAAGAGTTAAATAAAATTACAGGTAATATTGAGAAGGGTCTTAAAGAAAGCAAAGATCAGTTCTGATTGAAGGGATTAGAGAGACTTTATGGTGGAGATGTCAAAGGATCTGGGCCTTCTCAAAGCAGAAGAATTTTGAAAGGTGAAAAAGGTTAAGAAAGGAATGCCTAGTTGAGAAAAACCACCATTTGTTTGTAGTTTGTCATGTGGTGGTGACTTGTGTGTTGCTGTGATGGTGAAAGCTATGCCTCTGCTATTTCAAATACCAGCAGGATTGTGGTGGACAGATTTCAGCAGAGCTTCCAGACTAAGACAGACTGAGAAGGATGGGGCCAGGACTACTTCTGAAACAAATAAACAAAAATCTGGCCACTGAAAACCTTATGAACAGCAGCAGAACATTGTTGATATAGTGCCAGAAGATGAGCACCTCAGGTTGCAAGGCACTCAAAATACAACTAGGAAAGAGCAGCTTCCTCAAAGTAGAGGCAACTTTAGTAACTTGGATAGGGTAAAGCTTTGGGATGTTCATTTACTATGTGCCAAAACTCAAAACGAGAAGAAACAGCTGCAAACATTTATTAATAATCAGAATATGGAATGGATGGAGTATGAATCTAGGACAGTTGGGAATTGTAAAAAGTGAAATGGGACACACAAAGATTGATATCCTAAGCATTAATGAGCTGCACTGGACTGGTATTGGCTATTTCAAATCAGACAATCATATAGTATACTATGCTAAGAATGACAAATTAAAGAGGAATAGCATTGCATTCATCATTAAAAAGAATTTTCAACATCTATCCTGAAGTACAATGCTATCAGTGAAAGGATAATTACCATATACCTACAAGGAAGACCTTGTCTTTGGCTTTAATGGTTGGTGCATAAATTTGAATAATAGTAATATTAACTGGTCTTCCTTGTATGTATATGCATATTATCCTACCATTGGCAGCATTGTACTTCAGGATAGATCTTGAAACATTTTTTTGTGATAATTAATACCATGCCCTTGGTACAAATTTATGCACTGAACACTAAAGTCAAAGATGAGGAAATTGAAGATTCTTACCAATTTTTGCAAATTGAAATTAAGCAAACATGCAATAAAGATGTATTGATGATTACTGGTAATTGGAATGTGAAAATTGGAAACAAAGAATCACTGGTAGCTGGAAAATATGGCTTTGGTGATAGAAATGATACTAGAGATTACATAATATAATTTTTCAAGACCAATAACTTATTCATCACAAATACCACTTTTCAACAACCTAAACAGAGGCTATACATATGGACCTCACCAGATGGAATACACAGGAATCAGACAGACTACACCTGTGGAAAGAGACAATATCTTCAGCCAAAACAAGAGCAGGAGCTAACTCTGGAACAGACCATTAATTGCTTATATGTGAGTTCAAGTTGAAGCTAAAGACAATTAAAAACAAGTCCATAAGAGCCAATATATGACCTTGATTACATCCCACCTGAATTTAGAGATCATTTGATTAACAGATTTGACACATTGAATGCCAATGACCAAACACCAGATGAATTGTGGGATGACATCAAAATCATCATACATGAAGAAAGCAAAAGGTTATTAAAAACACAGGAAAAGAAGAAAAGACCAAAATGGTTGTCAGAAGACACTCTGAAACTTGCCCTTGAAAGGAGAGTAGATAAAGCAAATGGAAGAAGTGACAAGATAAAAGATTAACAAAAGATTTCAAAGAGCAGCATAAGAAGACAAAGTCAATTATTATAATGAAATGTGCAAAGACTTGGAGTTAGAAAGCCAAAAAGAAAGAACATGCTCAGCATTTCAAGCTGAAAGAACTGAAGAAAAAATTCAAGCCTTGAATTGCAATACTGAAAAATTCAATGGGCTAAACATTGAATGATGCAAGAAGCATCAAAAGAAGATGGAAGGAATAAATAGAGGCAC